CTGTCATGTGGACAACCATGTATGGTCATGTACACAACATTAGGTTTGCCCTCATGCCATGTGTGGGTATCAACACTAATGTGTTCACTTGTGATTGGTACATGGTCATGATACATCCTTATATCTCACATATGTGTATAACATGCAAAATATTGATGTGTTTACTCATTATTGGTTATATAGTCATGACACATTCTTATATCTCACTATTCCAAAGTGATAGGTGTCAAATTAGATATTCATCTTCATATTGTTCTTGGTAAAAACCTAGATACTCTTCAAGAACAAAAATAATGTTCTAAACCAACCAATCCATCATTATGTTGGGCCTAAATTTGTAATGAATTAGGCTAAGAATTTTATGGAATTTAATCAAGGGGATGGTATGTCAATGGACTCGGAAAGTTGATATCTAATTCAACTTTGAATCTAGTTATCTCGAATTTGGATGCTAGAACTTCCATCCAATTAATAATCGAATCAAATATGCATTTAACCACATCTAATCCAAGTTCAACAAAAAATAAGTTAAAAATAGTTAAATATAATGAGATGGTTGTGGATTAAATCTAAATCTAACCTAAAATTTGACATGTCATATCTAATGTGGATGCATCTAGATCCGATCCAACTCTAACCCTTTATTTTTCCCTCAAGTTAAGTGAAGGCTCGTCCACACGTCCAATTTCCAATTTTAAAATCCCTTTGGACTCCAAGATTGAGACTAACTCGGCATTAGCTTTATTAGCTTCCACAACCATGGAGTTGGATTAGAGTTCTCAAAATAAAAAAGACCACCCAAATCAGTGAAATCAAATCAAAAAGTCAAGTTAACCTAACTGATCAATTTGGTTTTAATTTGATTTTTTTGAAAAAACTGAAGGTACTAATTTGATTTCAATTAACCAATATGAAAGACCGGTAGTTAACTGAATTTAAAAAACTTATAGAAATTTGCTACACAGCTTTAGGCTAAAGCCATGAATTAGAGCCCTCGATATATTGATGTGGGCTCAAATTTGATTGTTTACCAATTACAATATATGTCCATGTTCATATCCAATGTCAACTCCCAAGAGGATGGAAGGATGGAAATTTTTATGCAAATTAAAAGCTTAATAAGCACTACGTATTGTCCTTTGTAATCAACCTCACTCCCACTCTCTCCAATGTCCAAAACTATCATGTTGGATCCTATTAATAATAGGGATAACCTAATACTAATAGGCGTCCAAATTGTGTGTGAAGACCATAGATCATGTGGATCTCTAATGCCCATTTCTCTTCCCCTTCCTCTTTTCTCTCCTCGATGACCAATGTAGCTACACTACACAACATTTTCACCACCCAAGATGGCATGTCTAATCAAATTCTACAATAGCTTTGATCATTAGAAGTGCAAGGGCAACTAAGCAAGGGGGTGTACTGAGTCTATTCCATAACAATTAACAATAAAAATAACTAAGTGACCTTTTCCATTAAGAGGCTAATCATTCATTGATCTTTTCCAGTGTAAGAGAGTATGTTAACAATTAAACTCTGAACCTCACTTCTTATGGGATTGATATCAAACAATAGTCCCATTTTTTTGTTTCACAAGAATAGGGGGTCTTTAATCATAATCAAAATGGATTATTTTAATTCTAACTTATTGGTTGGGCAGAATTAGAATCTCATTCCTTTTCCTAGTGGAATGGTATTCCCTTATTCAACGAATGACCATTCCCTCCCCCTCAATTGAAAATGAAGTCCCATTCTAATTGATTCCAATTCTCATTCTAATTCATGTCTAAACTAATTAGACTATAGGAATAAACCACTTTGATTTCAATTTCGACTTTGATTCCGATTCCAACCATGAACCAAATAGACGATGTATGTCGGGGTGAAAATGGAAGAATGGAAGAGGAAGGTGTTGAGTTTTAAACTCATCAGAAAATAAATCCATTGGGTGTTTGATTGATTAATTACATAAGGACACCCAACTTACACTTTGAAAACTGGTTTTAAAGTTTACATCAAAATATTTGTTTTAATGTGTTTTCTCCTCTTTCAAGCCTTGTCCCACATTGAAGGATTACCTAACTTAACATGAGATTTTAAGGAGCATAGAGACTTGCTATTGCACAACACACGCACACACGTGTATGTGGCTCAATGAGACGCTTTAGAAGTGCACTTTGCATGGTTCATGAGAAGTGACTATTTTTAATGCAATGACACTTAGTACGATGAGATGATTTGTGATGGCACATTATGAAATCACATTGCGAAATCGTAAATTACAAATTGCAATTCATGTCATTTGTAAATTCGCAAAATCCCAAATTGTGACTAACGATTTGAGAAAGCCACATCTGACTTGAATGACTCTTTAACTAATCATGAATAGTCACAAAGTTTGAAATCGTGACTGTATAAAGAGTCTCTTTGAACCAACACATTCCTCTTTGAGGTGACTCTCTAGAACTTATATAAAAGGTGTAAAAGAAGCCAAAAAAACACATAAGTTTCCAATCACTTATCATTGAAAATACACTTGTCTCTCCCAATCAAATCTACTAATTGCTCACAGAGATTCTTCAATTTTGTTGGTTGCAATTTCTCACCCAATGCTATATTATATCATAGGAATGAATTTGTTGTAACCCAAAAGCAAATTCAGTAAAACTGAGTACGGGCAAACAATGTTCTAAAGACAACATCTTTAGATACACCTCAAAACTCCTCCAATTTTTTTAACCCCACCTATGAACAAAAGGCAGGAGAAAAGAGGCTTATTATGTGTGAGTCGGGATCTCTTAGGCACACATGATGATCACACTAATTAATCACTTAGAAAAATTTTAGACCCCTCTACCTAAAATATACAACCAATCTACCCTAAAAAAAACAAACTTTTGATACAATTTAAGTGTTCATTGAACGTAGTTTTAGTGGTGCTCCTACTAATCTGAACTCATTATGTGTTATGTACTTATGTTTGTCAATTGTATCAATCGATTGAGAGGTCCACACACACTCTTTACACCTGTCACTCTTTCATTGGGTTTCTAAAAATTATCTTAGGTTAGATTACCAGCAGATATTTCATCAAGTGCGTGAGTTGATCAAATACGAGACTAGATGGGCTACATATCTACATGTTACAACGCGGATTGCACTTTTATCCGTGTTGTAACACATAGATGGTTTAAGTGACGTGCAAAAAAGTAACGGGTAGGAGTTATATTCCCGTTACTTATTTTCTCAACATTTTTTCAACAAAAAAAAAAAACTTTGAACTTACCTGTCGAGCTTTGGCGTTGAGAGCTATTACAACTTCACAAAAGTACAAGTGGGATATTAGGTATCCTAATAAAGAAATTTATACGGTATTAATGAGACTATATTAGCTAATATAACACCAACTTGACAAAAGGTGATATGTTATTACACCAACTCGATATAATTTTGTAATCCACTTATGACTCAAATCTTAGGCTCCTTATCTAAAGCTTCAACTTGTAAACTCATACGGTATTAATCTTAGGTACTGTAATAAACTCATACGGTATTAATCAGGCTGTATTTCTCAATGTAAAGCCAAGTTAAAAAAAGTTATTACACCAACTCGATATAATTTTGTAATCCACTACCTAAATTGTTTAGGGTTGGTTTGGTTCATAGATGGAATTGGTTTTGGAATTGGATCTGGAATGGCCTATTCCTATGGTCTGTTTAGACCTATCAAATGGGTCGTGCTGGGCCGGTCGACCTATGTGCAGCTTGCGCAAAGTGCAGGCCATGTCGTGGGCAGCACGAAATTATATATATATTAATATATTATATGATTTTTTATGTATACAATTGTTTGTATATACAATAATTAAATAAAATAGTATAATAAAATTGAAAACAAAATTATATATATATATATATATTAATATATTATATACTATATATTATTATATAATTATCATATATAATATATACATATATATATATATATATATTTATATATATATGGGTCGTATTGGGTTGTACTGCACGCGGGCCATGGGCAGCACGACTCGCTCAGTCATGCCGACCCATGGACCTAAAACCCCAGGCCCAGCATGGCCCACGTATTGTCGTGCCGAGTCACAGGCGGCACTAACCAATTTACAACTCTAGGTCCGTTTGCTTTAGAATAGGAATTGGAGTCCTGCTTGCTGGCACGACCAATTCCATCATGTCGTGCCCAGCACAACCCGTGCATTATCGTGCCGAGTTGTAGGCGGCATGACCCGATTTACAACTCTAGGTCTGTTTGGTTTAGATAGGAATTAGAATCCCACGTGCTAGCACGACTCGCTCAGTCGTGCTATGTCGTGCCAGCCCAAGGACTTGAAACCGCAGGCCTAACATGGCCCATTCTATCATGCCGTGCTTGGCACGGCTCACGTATTGTCAGGCAAAGTTACAGGCGACACAACCCAATTTACAACTTTAAATCTGTTTGATTTAGATAGGAATTAGAATCAACTAAGATGAAATTTCATTCCCAAGAGAGAAGGGAATTTCCTCGTATGAAAACGAGAAAGGATTGACAATCTGTTGAAGTCATTGTAGATATGGAGTAAATAAAATATAAAAAGAAAAGAAAAACATTGGATTAAAGACATGAAATACAATGAGTATAAGTTTTTTTGATAGAATGGATTTTTGGCTGATTAGTCTCTTACCTTACTTTTTATTCTTTCTAAAATGCAAATGTTTTTCCCTTTTCGCGTTTTTTGAGCAGCTCGTCAACGATAAAGCTTGATGGATAAGCTTAATTTTTATTTTTTGTTAAAAATATTAAAAATTAATTTATAAAAAAATTAATACCAAACTTTAAAATACGACAACAGTATGATCATCAAACTTTAAAATACGACAATCTAATATCCGAATTAGATTATCAGTCGAGCCAAAATAATTCGAAAGACGGGAGTCTAAAGCGGACCCGCGTTGTAGCAGTATAACCCATCCGGACTCATGAAATACAACTGCATCGACCGCGTAAAGTGCTTTTCGACGTAACCCGCCAATTGAAAGGAAGAGGAGAAGAAGAAGATCCCTCTCTGTCTCAGATACAAATTTCCTTTCTCCACCGACAACTCTTCGATAGATCCAAAGCGATCGATTATCGGTTATCGCCTCTCTCTCTCTCTCTCTCTCTCTCTCTCTCTCTCTCTCTCTCTCTGGTTCTTTTGTCTGTCTTCACTTTCCACGATGTATAACATGATCGTCAACTGTTCCAACTGCCGGACACCACTGCAGCTCCCGCCGGGCGCCAAATCTATAAGATGCGCCATATGCCATGCCGTCACCAACATCGCCGACCCTCGTCAAGCTCCTCCCCCTCCTTCCCATTCCCACAATTACCACCCTGCCCCTTACCAACCTCCGCCACAGCCTTCGCCGTACAACCACGCGCCACCGGGTCCCCCTCCGTCTCCCCATGGTCGCAAGAAGGCGGTGATTTGTGGCATATCGTATCGCTACTCCCGGCACGAGCTCAAGGGCTGCATCAACGACGCCAAGTGCATGCGTTACCTCCTCATCAACAAATTCAAGTTCCCCGAATCCTCCATCCTCATGCTCACTGGTACGATGCATTTCAATAATACAACTCTGCTGATGATTTGCGTCTCTTAGAATTGTTATCTTGTCTTAATTCTGTCGAATTAGGTTCGTGTTTGATCTGAATTATTTCCTGTTTTTAATTATTACGTTGGTGTGTACTTAGGGTTTTTCTTTTTGCCGATTTATGTCTGCCTTTTCAATTTCTAGTTCTATCTATGTTATGGAGATAACTGCACCTGTTTATCCAAGGCACCTTGCGCATGGCCTTCTTCCTCTTCTCATTGTTTACAAGTCTCAACGAGTTACTGCTGAAACCTGGGCTAGGATATTCCAGTAGTCGTCATATCTCAACTCTTTCTTGCTTATATTTGTTGGTTTAAGCACACCGAGCAACGCGCAAGAGATGTAAATTTTATTTTTCTTGAACTAAATAGTAATACATTTCGGTGCTTTTTTTTACATGCTTGAAAAATTAATTTAGCCATCACGCGGAGACTGTCATCACAGAAGCAAATAGCAAGCAATTCTAAAGAACGACCAATTGGGTGACACCTTGGTTGTGCACTAGATCAACCTACTGCAAGTTTCTTCTTGTCCATCCATCTAAGAAAAACATGGGGTAGAATGTAAAATCGAAATCTTGATTATTAAAATCTTACCAAGTAGGTTATTGGTGAAAGATAGTTTAGTCATGGCTTGAGACCTATTGCCGTACCTCAACATCCACTGAACTTCTGATTATTCCAGAAGTGAATCCGATCAGTAACCTTTTTGCCGAGGAAGTCCTTACTGCCATTCGATCACATTTCTCTGAAGAATATAAATTGATTTTGAAGATTCATATGTGGAGGATTTTTATTGTTCTTTCTACCAGGGACACTTCAATTTTGTAAGAATTAATGGATTTATAACATAGGAGTTGATTATGGAACCCAAACATTCCAATGGAAATTCTAGTCTTAATGTTAAAAGGTAAAACCCCTGTTGAAGGAAAGGTTAAAGGCCTATGAGTTGGCATCCTTTTGTGTAAAATTATTCGATCAGAAGAGAGTCTGGATTATCATATGTGGGTTAGGTCTTGAAGCATCTGGCCTAGCTAATGGATATTCAGAACTGCTTGAATCATTCTATTGATCATTGAAATCAATGATGGTTTAGTAAAGTATCTGAAGCTGTTGGTGCAGTTAGTTTGGGGGGCTATTCCAAGTTTCATTGTAGGACGTCTGGAAGGAGAGGAACTATATGAGTCATTTGGACGAAATATGTGCAGCTTCAGTGCAGTGTTCAAGAAAGTTAGCCTGTGTCTTAAATAAATAAATAAGTTGCAAGAGACTCAGGAAAGATTGTATGTTTCTTAGTCCATTGTCTTAGCAATTGTGGTTGAAGGAAATTGATTAAGTTTCTCTTCTAAGATAACAAATTAACATTGATGGGGCTGTTGGTTGGAGCTAGTTGTTTTCTTTTTCTTTTGGGGTTAGGGATGATGGTAGTAGTAGATCAGTTGCTGATATGGTGATAGGAATGCTATTTGCCTTGGTGCATATGTTTGATCTAGGGGTTATTTCTAATGTGCCTAGTGTCACACAGTGTTCTCTATACTGTTTTTTTTTTTTTTTTTCTCTTTTATTTGTTTTCTCTGAAAGATGGTAAAGTGAGTTTATTACTATGCAAAAGTAGGGAGGGTAAGAAACCCTCATCACGTAAATAAAAAGTGTGCCTTGCACAGAACATGTACATTCAGATCCTATACAAGAGAAAACTCAAAAAATGATGGATAGCCAATGATCATTAAAGGAATTAGCTGGCACTCCCACAAAAAAGGCACAGACAACCAGCCCAACTTTTCAAAGCCCGTTCCACCTTGCCAAAAGCTGCTCCCACCGACTCACTCAAAAATTCTGTGATTCTGTTCTTTCCACATTGCCCAACAGATTGCAAAGGGGAGACAGCTCCAAAGGAATCTTCCATTGGCTGAAAAGGAGCCTGTCCTCCAAGATGATAACAAGTCAGCAACGGAGAACGGTAAGAGCCACTGAATCTGAAACAGCCTGAAGAAATGGCACAACACCTGAGAGTGTAAGGGCAATGAATTAAAGATGGTGGACAGATTCTGATGCTGAACACACAGGCTGCATGTGTCTTCTAAACCCAAACCTCGTTTCAGCAAGACATCCACAGTCTGAACCTTTTCCTTTGCTGCTAATTAGATAAAGAATATCACCTTGGGAGGAACCTGAGCCTCCAAATCCAAGACCAAGCCACACTTAACACTTGGCCTGTCAAAGCTTTATAACAAGACTTATAGAGAAGTGACCATTCTTTTCACACACTCTGGCATCCCTAGAACTGGGGTTGACTTGAACCTCCTGTAACCTGCCAAACATTTTCTTTAGTTTTTTTTTTTTTTTTTGAATGATAAAATGCACTATCACTAAATATCTATGATATGTTATTGAGAAGATTGTATGGATTGCATATAAAATATTTTAATCTCATTCACAAAAATCAAATTGCATATAATATGAAATTAGAACTAAAATGATAAAAGAAAGGATCCATTGAATATCAACAAAAATGTAATGAAAATTGAAATTCTTTGAGGCACAGACTCAACAAATTAGGTTGCGTAAAATTTGAATTCCTGTGTATGTGTGCACGTGTGTGTGTGTGGGAGTGGGGGGTTGAGAAAGAGATGGAAATGGAAACAGAGGTTGAAATCTAGTTTTGAAGACTGGTTAACATAATTCTGATTTTTTTTTAATTGGTGTTGTAACTCTATTTGCTCGAATTTTCTTTTGAGGTGGACTTGAGGGGGATACATTTTTTTTTGGGTGGGGGGGTGTTTCCTTTTGCTTTATCTATCTCTTCATCTACTGCCTGGGGCACTTTTTTGACTACTTTGATTCCTGATACTATTTCCCACTTATAGTCTTAATCCTGTTGTGGAAGTTGATCTGCAGAAGAAGAAACTGATCCATATAGGATTCCAACTAAACAGAACATGAGGATGGCACTGTATTGGCTTGTACAAGGTTGTCAACCAGGAGATTCTCTAGTATTTCACTATTCTGGTCATGGTTCACGGCAGAGGAACTATAATGGGGATGAGGTTGATGGATATGATGAAACCCTATGTCCATTGGATTTTGAAACACAAGGAATGATTGTTGATGATGAGATCAATGCAACAATTGTCAGACCTCTTCCACATGGGGTTAAGTTGCATGCAATAATAGATGCTTGCCATAGTGGAACTGTACTAGACTTACCATTTCTCTGCAGAATGGACAGGTTAGTATTCCTTTGCTTGTTAATCTGTGCTGGCTGGTAATATAATATAAACACCAGAAAACAAGGCCTGTGAATGCCACTTCAAAATTTTGAGCTGAAACTCCAATTTTTTACATGATCCTATTTATTTAATGTCTTCAACCTTGGTAACACATGTTTTCGTCGTTAATGTAGGACTGGGCGATATGGGTGGGAGGACCATCGTCCTCGATCTGGTGTATGGAAGGGAACAAGTGGTGGGGAAGCCATTTCCTTCAGTGGCTGTGATGATGATCAAACATCTGCGGATACCTCTGTAAAGTCTAGGCTCTCTAATTAGATAGCTTTAAGATAATGCATTTTATAAATAGGCTTTATAAAAAAATTGACATCAACTGGAAACAGAAAATTAACAATTCAAGCTAATGCTTTTTATGAACAGGCTTTATCAAAAATCACATCAACTGGTGCAATGACTTTCTGTTTTATTCAAGCTATTGAACGGGAACATGGGACTACATATGGAAGCATACTCACTTCAATGAGGGCTACCATTCGTAATACAGGAAATGACCTAGGTGGTGGTGTGGTGACATCTGTCATATCCATGCTCCTAACAGGAGGTAGTCTCGGTGGTGGGTTAAGACAGGTATCCAATCTCACCCATTAATTTTGGAAACTAGCAAAAATGTGTATTTGCGCATGCACTGTGCATTGAATACTTGCATGTCGTGCTCATATACATATGACACAAAGAGACACGTGCATAGATTTTCTTGACCGGTTTTTCTTCACAGATGGATTTTTTGTGAGTACTGTGGTGGCTGTACAAATGGGTGCACATGTTGTTCACCTCACTGCTTACCTGTCTCCCGTTTTCCCCAAGCATGTGGCCATGGTTGTCAAGCCACTAATTGAGGCTAGGCAACAGCGGAATGCCTTATCACCTAGGCAATGTTTTTTATATAAGAATCTGGCTTAACTTTAGCTTGTTTCCTTCTTTATGAATCAGCTGATTTCCCTGGTTGGTGTAGCAACTAGGAAACATTAAAAAGTGATCTAACATGAAAGAACCACACATTAAAAGTAGAATTGAAGCATCACATATCCTATGAAAAACTAGGAAATTCAAGGGGGAGACAGAGAGTATCTGTATCTTTAATATCATCATCTAAGTCTTGTCCATATGGGGTCAGCTACATGAATCCTGCTCCTCCATTCCAATCTGTTCAACAACATTCCAATATTAAATTATGGACCCTTAAATAATTTCTCACTACTTCAGCCCAAGTGTCCTTTTTTATCTGCCCCTAATTTTTTTTAGCTCCTTGAATTTGTAACAAATCACTTCTTCTCACTATTGCTGTAGATGGTTTCCTCCACATATGCCCTAGTTTACTTTTTGCCATTTTATAATCAATTGGAGCTACTCATAGGTTTCTTCAAATAAGTTCATTTTTTATCCTATCCTTTCTAGTTTTCCCACTCATCCATCTCAACATTCACATCTCTTCTATGTGTATGTTAAATCAAAGAATGGGAGAAAACAAGCATATAAAAGGACAGGATCTTCTGTAGTTTGGTGAAACATCATATGAAGCATAAGATGGTGTTAATACCCAATACAACAACAAAACTGAGGAAAATCAGGATTATTTTAGTCTAGAGACTCTAGACAGGATCTTGCTTAATAATCATGTAAGTTAAATAGAAATCTGACTTTCACAAGTTTGTACATGTGCTTATTTAAGTAGTATATAATAAAGCCATTGAGTGCATGTGCATGCATATAGTTGTACTTGTGAAATATATATTTATATTCCTTTTATTCAACAAACATGAATGCATACGAGTGTTATGATAATGTATCTGATCTTATGCCTTTGTTTTACTTTGTTACAGGAGCCACAGTTGACTGCCTGCGAAATGTTTGATGTGTATTCGAAGCCTTTTGCCCTATAGTTAATTTGTAATCACTGTCTCTCATATTATCTTGAGTGATTTTGTATAGTTTCAAAATGTCCATTCGTGGTAGTTTACCTGCCTGCGTCATTTTGTGTGCATATTATTGCAGAATATATTTAAACCTTTTGTTCTATTGTTACCATAATCATATTACTTTTACTGGAAAACTGAGAAGTGATAGCTAAATCCATTTGACTGAAACACGGCTCAAAGAAGCTGAGTGTAGACTGTTTTGGCTGGCACCTCAAGTATCGTGCGCAGAAGTCTGTCTTCTATAAATGCAATAGATGAATAATTCTGATTTCATTTTGTTTAAGTAAATAGGCTTGTTCTCACTAGTTAAAACCAAGAAAAGGTAAAATAGCAGTTAGATTAAAGAAGAAAAAGGAAAAGGAACTAGACAAGTAGACATACTCTTCTTGGTATCCTTGCTCTTTAAACCCAATTGTAGCTTACTAGGTGCAATTTTACTATGGAATATATCAGTCCAGGTTGTGCCTTAATGCTAGTTTTTCTATGGAAACCTTCAAAGCAAATCTTCTGGGGCAAGAGTCGAATTTGATATTTAGATAGTTACGAGATTACAAAACGAAGCTATTCGTACTTATTTGTCTCTTCATTGACAATATAATATAGAGATAAATTGAATTTGCACCCAGAAAACAGTTCATGCAATAGAATGTCTATCTTCTAAGAATTCGCTAATACCACTGACTTTACGCTTTACCATACAATTTCTTCCCCCCCCCCCAAAAAAAAAAAAAAAAAAGAGCTGAGTAAACAGTAATTTTCCTTTGGATTATTTTGCAAATTTCTCCTCTCCAACCTTTTGATTTGAGGCTCCTGTTACTCTGCTATTTAGACCGAAGCCCATTGTTGGAATCCATGCCTTCCATCCTCAAGAGTCAAGACCCCTCTTTTAGGCAAAAAATCCCCTTGGAAAATGCAAATAAAACTTGTTTGATAGACTTCCTACGGCTTCACCTACATTAACATTAGATTTGATCGGGAAGAAGAAAGCAGTAGGTGAATTAAATTATTTTACAAGGGAAAGGATGGGCACACTAGACGTGTTATTGAAGGTTAAATAATTTTTTTTTTCTGTAAAAGTACCGTGTTTATCTTAGCTAATCACTGAATTTATTATATCAAACCATTGGGATTAAGTTGACCCTTTCATTTCAGCCGAAAAGTTCAACTTTTCTACGTTACATCTCTCTGTTTAATTAAATATATCTAAATTCCTGGACCCCATCGCAGCGGTTTTTTTTTTTTCTTTGAAAAGCAACACAGACTCACGGAGTCACAGATCAATTGCAGGCTTCAATGAGGCAGGGATAGCTTAGTACCCGTATGGACTTAGTTCTCGTTTGTAACAGCAATTCTGGGTTTAGAGGTGCCAGGCCACCTGTGGATCAGATTCTGCATCATCATCAGCCATTGTCCATTGAGCTTCCCGAGTCCGCTGGGGCTTGTCGAGGTTTCATCTTGGAATCTGATAATCAAGTTTTGATTAGGAGTGGTTCCACCTGCTCCCCAAGTTGGCTGGTTGACTTGATGCTATGGAAATTGATAGGCATTGTGGCTTCTTCTTATCTGTGCCTGTTTAGCTTATTGTCTCTTCTCTTTGTCTTTGTCTTTGAATGATGTCTTCTGTCGTCAAGCACACACGACAATTACTTCTCATTATCTTTCTATTCCCATATTTTTACTGTCTTACTTTTCTAGTTTTCTCAGGTAAATAACTAAATAAAGAACTTTTAATAGTTAAAAAAGGAGAGCAAAATGAATTTTAAATTGTCATAAATGAACCGGGTTCACACTCTTCACACATCAATAGAATGACTATTCAGCCCACCTCAGAATTCTTAGTCCCACTGTACAGGTGAGATGAATCCTGATTGTAGATTGATGTCAAATTCACGGGTAGGATGTCATTTATAAGGGGCTACTAATAGACTAGGGAGGCTGTAATTTCAAAATTCTGCAGTGTACTCCAAAAAAAAAGTGAAAGAATTAATTGATATAAGGTGTGCAATTATCGAATTAATTGGATTTCTTTTATAAAATTTAAATTTTAATATTTATAAAATTGCTGGTTCCTCTCAAACCCCCTTTCACTTTGACTTTACTGGCTTTGATGATTCTTAAACCCAATTACAATAAAACCAAGATGATGCTAGTCCAATAGTTTAAGAGCTTCAGGTTCTAAAGCGTCAAAGAAAAGAAAACAACAATTGCTGAAAATATTTTACATTTAAAGAATCATCACGAAAGGGATTGAGAGCAGTTTTTGGTAAGTGCAAAAGTGATTTTAGTTATTAAAGTAATAGCGGCAGTGCAATTAAAGAAAAGTATGTGCTAAAACATATTCCACAAGCTCAAAATGAATTAATCCAAACCCAAATTAGCTTTGGGTTTGGATCATTTTCTAATTTTTATCATTCCTAAAAAAAATGAGACAGACATAAGCTAAATATATAGTGCATGTTTAACAATTATTTATATTGTTAAAGATACTAGATTTGAAAATTTTGTGCAAACATCAATTAATCTTACATATAGAAAAGTTTATAGGAATACAAATAGGTTAGATGGTATCAAAATTTTTTAAACATATAAACAAAATTTAATTTTTACTTGGGCAAATCTTTCTTCTAAAATTGCTTTTACTTTAGATCTTTGGTCTTTTAAATATAATATTATTTATATTTGTGTAACTACTTATTTTATTGATGAAACATGGGTTTTACATAAAAGAATTTTTAGTACTACAAGATTAGAATAGACACATATTGGGCCAGCTATTGCGACTAGTATTTTAAATACTATATGTACTTATGATATTAGAAGATAAATTTTTTTCAGTTATTTTTGATAATGCCTATAATAATGATTTAGCCACATGTATTTTAAAATCTCAATTAAAACCTATTTTAGAATGAAATTTTAAAATTGCTTTACATTAAGAAAAACTAAAAGTTATACTTTATATATTAAATCTTCACGTATAAGAAAACAAAATTTTAAAATTGTATACCATCAATCAATATGGAAAAATTTCTAAAAATTTTCCGTTAGATGTTCGATAATGAAATGATTGTTGTTATTTTAATTCTTTTAGAGAAAATGAAAGTATTTTTGAGTCAAATAGGATTTAGAAAAAAAAAAAGTAAGGAAAATTCATGTAAATATTTTGAAAATTTAACACATTCCATCATCTGAATTACCGCCAGGGGTATTGGTGATAAAGTAAAAGGGGTAAATTAGGGTATATATGTAATTTTATTTAAGATAATTATGCATTTTAAATAGAAAAAATCAGGTCAATTACGTTCATCAGGGTCTATAAGTAAATGGTCTGTCTACCATACGTCGTGGTTGGAAAGAAGTATGACCAATCCACACCGTCCATCAAATAAAAGACTTTCTAGATTGACCCAGACGCTAGCAATTGCTTTATTGCTTTCTCCTCTCGAATTCAAATGTCAAACCACTGTCTGTCATTGTAACTTTTGTCAGCAAGCCAGCAACCAATGCAGAGAGAGAGAGAGAGAGAGAGTTGGTTCTGTTTCAAGAGTCAAATTCTCAGCCAGCGAGCAAAAGAAGCTGGCAAGGAAAGATCCCTCGACTACCCACCAAAGAATTTTCTTCTTAAACTCCATAAGCGAAATCCGGTCAATGCTCTCTCAGATCATTCTCTCTCTCTCTCTCTGTGATGATCGATTTTGTTCCAAAATAAGCTTGTATTCTCTTTCTGCATTCGCTTATTCACTGGTTTTCACATTTTATTTCCGATCTTACCTCTGGTTTATCTCTTTTGCTGACCTTCCTATCCGGCCACGATGTATAACACTGATATGCTCGTCAACTGTTCCACCTGCCGGACACCACTGCAGCTCCCGCCCGGCGCCAAATCCATAAGGTGCGCCATCTGCCAAGCCATTACGCACGTCGCTGACCCTCGTAGTGCTCCTCCTCCTCCTTATTCCTATAACTCACCCGCCCCTTACCAACCTCCGCTACCGTCGGCATCCGCCCTTTCACCCTACAACCACGCGCCGCCGGGCCCCCCTCCTTCTCCCCACGGCCGCAAGAAGGCAGTCATATGCGGCATATCGTATCGGTACTCCCGGCACGAACTCAAGGGCTGCATCAATGATGCCAAGTGTATGCGTTACCTCCTCATCAATCGTTTCAAGTTCCCCGAATCTTCCATCCTCATGCTCACTGGTATTATTTTTCTTCCCCTATGATTTAATGGGGATTTTGGCTGCTTTCATTTGTTCATGCTTAAATTCATGTTCGAATCGGAATAATTAGTATTTGGTCAGTAGTTGTACGAAAGAGAAATGCAAATTTTGGTTTATTATTATTATTATTTTTTTTTTGAGCTGAAAATTTGAACTCCCTTTTTCCAAAAACAATTTGTTTGTTTGTTTCTTTGTCTTGTTGATGGGTTGAAACTTGGTCTTGTAACAACAATTTTGGTTTCTTCTTTTTAATTTCAGCAACAGAAACTTGGTCTTGTAACAACAAATGATTTCACAAGCATTTTTACACCATACTTATAATTTATAAGTCTGAACTCTGAAGAGATCTAAAACATAAATTGACGCTCTACTTTCCCTATTAAATCTAAATTATCAGTTTTAGATGTTCATCTAAGCTACTTAGCATTAGATAGGACAACCATTCAAAAGAAGCACCTGTACAAGGAAGCAGGTCGTGCTAAATTATCATCTGAAATACCACCACATGAATTCAGCCAGCAGAAGATGATCTTTTTATTTCACATAAACCCTGATTAAGTAATGAATGAGATACTGGATTACAGAAACAGTAATGTCCAGCACTCGAAACTGGTTTATCAAAATTTAAAAAGGCAGAAATGGAAAAAAAATAAAAGAGAAACTTGACCTTCTGATAGCCAATTGTTACTTCTAAACTAGGGTCCAACAATATAACAAGGAAGGGCAACTCATTTTGCTACTCGGATCATAAAATGGATAACAAGTTTTTCGGGCTGAAATATTTGAGCTATATTTTCCCCCTTTACAATGGAAATCTTGTTTTCCTCTCCATTTACATGAAAGGGTGGAAAAAAAAAAGTTCACTGAAAAAAGGGTAGAGTTTACATACATTTCACAAAGAAACAAAGGCATACTTAATTGAAAACTAGAAACAAAGGTGCTTGCTTTGCTGAAAAATATTTGAAGATGAAGAGAAGTTATCAATTGTTTTGGAGCCATGCCCAAGGGGCTTGTTTAACTACAAATTCTTTGAGGTCTTTTCAACATGAGCAGATATGAATTAACTTTTTAGATTTTGAACAGATATTATGACCTTAAGTTTCTTGATAGGTTAGTTTCTAAAAATGTATATCACCATAAGTTGCTTCATATTGAAAGTTTGAAACACTGGTAACTGAGGATAGGCATTTACCTGGAATTGAGATGGTTACAGTGGTCGGCAAAGTCATGGATTACTTCAAAATATGTTGAGATAAGCAGCGTCTTAAAATGTTCCCACCACTATGTGGACATTAAGTTTGTCTTTCTTTAGGCTTTTAATCTTTGTATCTTACCTTTTTTCTCATGCAAAATCACTGAGTTGAATTCTTTCTTTGAAACCAAATCAGGTAGAACTCTTTCATAAGTGTAATTTTTAGGGTATATAATAGACCCTGTACTTCATGTAAGCTATTTGATGTCTGTATGTCATTGTTACTATAATCCAATTCAAAGGGTTTCCCCTCCATGTGGGAATACTAAATTTCCAGAGGTGGAACTATTCCCATCCCTCAAACTTCAACTTCTGCAGCTGCATGAAGTTTAAGGTATATTTACCAATTATAGATGTGTTAAACGGGGATGCAAATCAATATATGCTTAGTGTTTTTCTGTTTCAATATTATCTGCTCCCCTACTACAAGGTCTTGCTCTCTGTGTGTGTCAGCTCTTCTAGTACTGCACTGTGCTATTGCCTATCAACAGATTTGCATCCTTATTTCCATTTAAATATATTTTTGTTATTGAAAAAAAAACCTCATTTCCAGATGATAAACTAATTCTTCTTTATTTTCCAATTCTAATATATAATAAGGAACATCAACTAAATAACAGATTACCATGTTGGATGTTTTCTCAACATGGTTTTTAGAGCAGCATGTCCATTTTCCTTAATTTTTATTTTTTTGGCTCTTTAGCCAAGAAATTCTGTTAATATTTTCATTGTCTTTTTCAATACTTTGTGCTTCTCAATCTACTTCCCACAAATAGTCATTTTTGGGGACTTTATCCGCAGAAGAAGAAACTGATCCATACAGGATTCCAACTAAGCACAACATAAGGATGGCATTATATTGGCTTGTACAAGGTTGTCAACCAGGAGACTCTTTAGTGTTTCACTATTCTGGTCATGGTTCACAGCAGAGGAACTATAATGGTGATGAGGTTGATGGATATGATGAAACCCTCTGTCCCTTGGACTTTGAAACTCAGGGAATGATCGTTGATGATGAGATAAACGCAACAATTGTTAGACCCCTTCCTCGTGGGGTAAAGCTGCATGCAATAATAGATGCTTGCCATAGTGGGACTGTACTAGATTTACCGTTCCTCTGCAGAATGGACAGGTTAGTAATTCATGATGGGTTGAATGTAAATATAGATCCCAAAGAGCAATCTGAACTATTGATGGGATTGAGCTACAATTTTCACTTAATTCTACCTAATGACCAGAATCTTACTGATGTATATTTTATCCATAAATGTAGGAGTGGGCGTTATGCATGGGAGGATCATCGTCCTCAGTCAGGTGTATGGAAAGGAACAAATGGTGGGGAGGCCATTTCCTTCAGTGGTTGTGACGATCATCAAACATCTGCCGATACCTCTGTAAAGTCTAGGATTTCTAATTGGATAGCTTCCTTTCTCTAGTGCTTTTATTAGAAATACTGATGTTTTCTATTCATAACTGCAAGTAATGGCATACATCACATAAATAAACTAACAAATTCAATCTATACTCTATGATCAGGCTCTATCTCAAATCACTTCAACAGGTGCCATGACTTACTGTTTCATCCAAGCGATTGAGCGTGGAGAAGCAACTACATATGGGAGCATACTGAATTCAATGCGTGATACAATTCGTAACACAGGTAGTGACCTTGGTGGAGGTCCAGTGACATCTCTCCTAACCATGCTTTTAACAGGAGGTAGCTTCAGTCTCGGTGGTGGGCTGAGACAGGTACCATCCTACTACTGCTACATTCATTGCATTGAGTTCAATCTGTACAATTACAACCTGTATTCAGACTGAAGCACCTAGGGGTAGCAGACATGAGCATGCTGCACAATCCATCCACCCACACACTCATGAATGGTTTTGCATGAAAACTGAGTTTTCTTGCTTGTAGCAGCTGAGGTAATGAGCCCAAATGGGTCTGCATGTTTTGACACTTAACCTTCCCAAATTTTTAAGATTTAGTATACCACTTGGCATGTGGCAAAGTGATACCACTTCTCTTACATTTTTTTTGTTAATTTGATTGATCCCTTAAGAATTCAATGGCTACATTTCCATGGGTAAATCCAAATAGGTAGTAAGGTTCTGTGATGAATGTGCTGAATGTCGGAAACTCCCTCTTGGATGGAGGGATTTGCTTGAGCAGTCTATCACATGGACGGACAGAAGGTTGTATCTGGACTCTGTATAGCAGTCAAAATTAGTTCCAGTGTATTATCAATAAACACAGTAACAGAACTGAAGGAAAACTATAGGAAAACAGGAATATATTTACAATTAAAGGGTCAAATCATTTGTGCATGGGTTTTTTCCTGGCGTTTTCCCTTCTTGTTGTTCTATTTTTCTACATTTATGATTTTCTTTCCTGGATTTAACATAGTTCCTGTTTTCTATTTTCTATTCCCTTTTCATTTGGCTTTTAGATAGTGGCTTGTCAAATAGCCAATTGTGAGCTAGTTGTTGCATGCATATAGCAAATGCACAACTTCTTGGGTGAGGGTTTATCTGCACACTACACTCCAAATTAGTTGGTATACCACATCTTAAATGGGGCAGCTGAGATATCAAGCAAACAGGTGATCATCTGAGGGTGTTAAGGTTCATTTCTGCAGCAAATGAGAATGATACATATTTAGTAGGTAGAGCATGAAAAGATGCTGGTAATACCAAAATTGCATACAGATGATGATTTAGTATATATTTCTGGCGAGAAGTTTTAAAGCCCAAAATATTATACAGATGAGTTTAGATATTGTTCTGGGCTTCTGGCAAGAAGTTTTGAAGCCCTTGTAAATCCAAGTTGTTCATGCACTTGAGCTTCTCGGTTCCTGTGATCCTGCGTATATTCTTCATGTTGACATGTTCATATGTGCCTTAGGTTTGTGCAAATGTGGCATGTGATACGTGTAGTTTGCCATGATTTATAATTCCTCCACATCATGAGAAAAAATTAACCTTAAATCAGAAAGAGGATCGATCTGTATGCATATATTTATGTACTTTTGCCGGAATGTATAACATTTGACAGTTAATGTCAGGCTTTGTTTCAATTTGTTACAGGAGCCACAGTTAACGGCCTACAACACATTCCATGTTTATGCCAAACCTTTCTCCTTGTGATTTGTATTCTCTCTCACACACACGATCTACAAGCTACAGCTTCTTTACATTGTGTTGACTGATTCTGTACAGTTCAAACGGATCCAGCCATGGGGAAGTGCTTGAGGTCTATCTTGTAATGTCCTTGAAATTTTCTTTGCGGACCTTGCCCTGTTTTCACCATAGGATGTAATTTTAACGTAGGGCAAGAAAACAATTTCACTCTGAAATGTTCATCCATATTTTTTCTCCTTTTGTAGTGGACACTTTGTTCACCCTATTTATATTGAATCTAATGGAGGAATTGCCAGATTATTTTACCAAAACAAGGAAGAGAGTTGCAGTATATCATCGCTTATGCTAAATTGTAAGGTTGAAAATTGAATAATCCAGGAAGGCTCAAATTCACCGAGTATTTAACTCAAATACAAAAGAAAAGAAGAATACAGAAAGTAATTCAAGTTCCTAAGTAGTCAATCCAGTCAGCATAACCACTGCACTGACACTCCTGTGACTCTTTCTTGGCTATGCATGGGCTGCGGTTCAACAATGTATTTTTAAGAGAAAAATAAATAAAGTATTGGTGATTCACCAAATTTTTATATATTTCTAGTTCTTTACATAGTAGAAAAAATAATTTTTCTTTTTTTTAGTCATTGAGTTTTAAGCTTATTCCTTTTTATATAACTTGCATATTTTGAGAAGTACATATCAACTGCTTAGCATGAGAATCAATTAATGGTGGCTCAGTGTGTAAGTTCTTTTCTTATTGTAATTTATTATTAACCAGAAAATCTATGAAACAAATTTACATTAAATTAATAAAAAGGAGAAAAGCCTGATAACCCATGGCAATGAGAAATGGTTTCTTTAGACATTTATAAAAGAAGATTAATTCATCCCATGCACTGGGTGGGAAAATGGGTTGGCCCTTAACCTAGAGGGGAGATATTACAATATACAAACATCGACTACTAAGATCTGTGTGAGAGAAAGAGAGAGAAAATATGGATTTTATGAGAGAAAATATATATAGAGAGAGAGAGAGAGGCATTTGAGATTTGTATTGTTGTATAATATATTATCAAGTCGGAGTTGAGCTCGTGTTGGATATTTTTTAGAAAGCCCATGCCCGGACTAAAATATGTCAGGCCTAGTGTTTTGGGTCCAAGCCCAACTTAGAATGAGTTGGGTCAAGCTGGTCTGTAAAGCTACATGGCCCATAAACAAGTCTAGTTCCATTATATGGAAATAGAAAGTAAACATGGAAATTTGCCTGGACAGTTGATACAAAAATGCCCATACCACCTCATTTAACCCCAAAATGAGCACAAAATCTATTTGGAAAAAATGGAAAAAAACCTTGCTCTGATTGACCATCAAAGTAAAAGGAAAAAACATTTGCTCTCTTCAACCACCGGCAGAAGCAACCATTAAGGCATTAAGGTTAACAGAAGAATTATATATATTCTCCTTTTCTGTTTACCCTGGTTGCTTTAGTGTTGGGGAGGCTAATCTCTAGAGCAAATTTTAAGAATCTAATTAGGGGTGGAGAGTTGAGAGGAAGAATGTACCACTTGCAATTTGCAGACGACACAATCCTGTTCTGTGAAGGTGAAGATACTGATTGGATTAAGAATTTGAAACTCACTTTACAACTTTCTAAATTTCGAGAAAAGTTGAGAAAAGTTGTATAGTGAGGATTAATGTCAGGCTGTCCTATTTCTATGGCGTCGTTAGACACCGAATAATTAACTATGCACAAACGTGGTACCATTCCAAGTTTGTATGCTCAATTGGGCCTTGGCCATTGCAATGAAGGTTGAAGAAATAATAATGATAATAATAATAATAAATAATAAATAATAAATAATAATGATAATTAGGCATGGCATGGCGAAGAATAACCGAAATATGTGATGAGAGAGAGAGAGCCCAAACCCCTAACATACATTTCGGCCGCAGATCCAAAGTACCCCAAAAAGGCCCTAGACATGAATAATTAACAACAATCACCATCCACTAGAGAAATGCATCTAGCTTACTTGACTTTATAGGACTTGGGGGTCTAAAATCCTCCAACCGCAGATTGGAGCTTGTAAGGATCTCATCTAAAAGCCCTTCTCCTTTCTCTAATTTTATGCTCTCAAGTGTGTTTCCAAGAACTTCCGACGCGAGCCCAATCTCTAGAAGCCGTCCTGGTTCTTCACCACCTTCATGTACTAGCCGCCCAACCTCTCTCAAGGGAACTATATTCTCTATGATAACTTTGGCAAGGATGCGCCCAAGAAACTCTGCTGCTTTTGGGGCATCCGGTATGTAGTCCTCCAAGGTAGAAAGAACAGATTCAAACCTGATTTTACAAAAACAAACATGAATAAGACAAGGATTCAAGCTACAATAGGGTAAACTAACCAACTTCTGTTTTCTCACTAGCAAACATGGTTCTTTACCCTTTGACGAGATGCTGTTGTGTCAGCAAACCATCTCGAGGTCTGGTCAGGTTGACCAGAAGCTTAGCCAAAAGATCCCTGTCCATATCTTTCCTCTCAAAAGAATCTGTGACCCAGATCGATATCATTGATGGATAGAAGCTCGGGGCATTCAAGTCTTTGATACACAAGGAAACCTCTTTCTCATCTTTGGCACTGAAAACAATAACCGGTACTGGTTTAGCATGATAATCGGAACGCTCATAAAAATCTATAGATTAAAAACCATATATATAAACATACAATGATCTTTTAATTCTAACATTGTACAGCTTACCAGAAATATAGTACAATGTAATTAGAGCATCTGAAAAGCAGAAGAGCAGAAAGCAAAAGAGGAAAATTTGCAAAATCTACTAAGGAATTTTAAGTGAAAAGCAATTCCTAATTAAATCAATCAGGTGGTCTAGAAGATTCTTTTTTCTGATCAAGCTTTTGGCAAGACTGGATCCATTTTTCTATGGATGTCTTTTGGCCACACTTCTGTCTTCATAAGACCATTATTTGATTAAATAAAAGGTGCAGAAATCAGAAGAAAGAAGTAAAAGAAAAGGAGAAGAGAAAGTTCGAGAGAATCATGCATGGAAATTAAGAGTGACACTTTACTTCCACCATCTTTTACTCTGTTGACACCTCATATGGGATATCGCATTAAACAGAACAAAACAGTGAAATTGGATAGCTGTAGCCAACCCCATGTAGTTGAGACAAGGCTTGGATGGTAATGATGATGATACTTCCTTTATTGTCAACCTCAATATGTTCGATAGACCTGTTCATGGGCCAGGTAGCCCAACGGGCCAGCCTGGCTCGGCCCATTTTGTCGGGTTTGGACATTATCTTATTTAAGCCTACGGGCTAGGACTCAGGCTCGGGCTCAAAACACTAGGACCCAATTTTTCCAGGCTGCGCTCGGGCCATCTCAAAAAAGTCCAGCCTAAGCCCGAGTTTGAGCTAAGGCCATATAATATGAATGAATCGATTTTTTATCAAGTAAAACAAAAAAAAAAAACTCTTTTTCCCAATTTATAGGCCAGGCTTCAGGCTCGGGCCTTGGACTTCAAGCTTTATAGCAAGGCCGGGCTCAGGCTCAAGATTTAGGCCCAATGGTCAGGTCCAGCTCAAGCTCAAGCTTGAATGTATTTTGTTAATAAAGATGCAAAGCCTGGTCCGTCCCAGCCCATGAACACGTCTAATGCTCGGTCATATCATGTTGATATGATTATAAGCAATACTAATAGCAGCCTAATAATCACAGTATAGATGCATAAGCTCATCATAAACAATCCCAATTTCATCCAGCATGGATCATACCCACAATGCATCTAAAATACTATGTGCCATAGTTTATACTCAACTTCTGCACTAGAGTGTGCAACTACATACTGCTTCTTGTTCCACCAAGAGATGAGAATAACAGCAACAAGAGAAGAATAGCCAGATGCTGATCGTCAATCACCAAGGGATAACTTACAAAATCTGCATTAGTAAACCCCTCAATCTTCCTATGTCAAATGATTAGATAAGACAATGCTTCCACCTGGATTACCCTTCAAGCAAGCAAGGACCTCTGCAGCTGCTAAATAAGTATCCCTAGCTGAGTGCACATACTAGCTGATGACACTTCGCAGCAATGGTGATATTTGGGCATATAACAAGACATTAACACCCCCCTTATCCTCAAGAGGTTTCCCATCTGTAGTTGACAATTTGTGGCTAGGATCAACAGGCAACAGGAGTATCAAGTATCAAAAGGCTTAATGCCCAGCTTCCGTCTCCTTTAAAAGATCTAAGATGCATTTCTGTTGACAAATAAAAATGGCATACTTGGACCTGGCCATTATGCCCAAGAAGTATCTCAACTCTTCTAGGTCTTGTTCTTCAAAAAAAAAAAAAACTCTTCTAGGTCTTTAACTTCAAACTCTTTATTGAGAAACTGATCCATCTGCCCAAAGGGGTTAAGAAGAGATCCTACCATGGAGCAAAAGGATTTGCGGGTCAAAGCCTCCTAGGTTAGTTGGTTTTAGGAAGATGGGACACGTGAGTAAAGCCCTTATTTACCAGTGGCTATGGAAACTCCATAGAGAGGATCAGCATTTTGAATAAGACCCCATGCAATTTAAGTTGCAGTTGGGTTCAAATTATATCTTTGTGTGTTTTTATGTTTTACCTTTTCTCAGTTTTTATGTTTTACCTTTTCTCTAAAAAAAATCATATATTTGGAAGATGAGTTGAGTGGCTATGGCAAATATAGTGACTGTTGTTAAGGCTTTGTCGACTGCCTAATAAAGTTTGAAGACCAGTTCATAAGTTGTGCTTGACAAATGGCACTATCTTTTAGAGCCCCATCCCTATAAGGTCTACAATGAAGGCTCAAGTGTTTTGAATGCTGACTTGAACAAGATATCCTCAGATGTTAACCAGGCTCAGGTTAGCAGAGTAATAGGGCCAAAAAGTCAATTGCAGACTTTGACGAATATGTTCCAATTTCAGAAGAAGGTGGTACACCTTATGTTCATCCCCTTGAGGACTGTTATATGGAATGAAAGTTGGCTTTAGGTGGGGCATCACACGGGTGGATATGGGCTGAGCCCAATGTTAGATTATTCAAGCTTGGCTCAACAGAAAAACATAAGGCTCAAGTTCAAGCTCTAGCTCAATTCGAGCTAGAAACATGAACTCAAATTTGGCTCAACTCAAAAGCCCATATGTTTGAACTTGACAATCAACCAAGCTTCATATAAAAAATTACAAATCCTACATATTAAAAATTAACAATATTATATAGAATATAAGTTCCATTAGGCTTGCGAGCTTCACTAGGTTCAAGCTCAATTCAATTAGCAAATGAATCTATATATTGGGCTCGATTTCAGCTCAAAGCTCAATTTGGCCAAGCTTTTCATGGGTCATTTCCTATCTCCACACTAGTGTTAGTTGATCAAGCAAACTAATGCAAGTTGGAAAGTGCTCTAGTTTCAACAAGCTTGGCCAATAAGTTTGTGCCTTCAAAGATTAGTAATTCGAATCGGGAAATCAAGTTGAAAGGGGTGATGCAGCTAGGGAGAAAGAGAGAAAAAGACATCAATAAGCAGGTCAGTCATATCAAAAACGAAATCGGTTGTCAAATTGTCAGTGAATTGGTTTCGCCAATAGAAGAAGATGGGAGGTTGGTACAATTAGGGGGAAAAGGAGTTGAAATGGCAAAGATTCCAAGAAGTCCTTGTGATGAAGTGGAGAAGATGGACAATTATTTGTTCTCTCATGTGTACTGTACATTGGAAAGTTTGGGGTGGATTTAGGGAGGAAAAAAAAGATGCCAGTCTAAATGAAGAAATCAAAAAGGTGATGATTCAAGGGTTAATTTGAAAAATCCCAAGGGTTCAAACACAGGTCAACTAGTTCATATTACAAAAGTGTTTCATGACTTGAAGGAAGGGCTTGACGGGGTGGGTCCCAATAGTAAGTACAAGCGGTATAACAAGAGGAAAGGGATTAAGGATAAAACTAGAACTAAAAGTACTGATCAAATCAGTTTTGGTTTGGAATTTTTGAAGAAAAAAGGGGGAAGAGAAAAAATTAGAAACTGCTTCAGATGGTCAAAAAGAAGATATAATACTAAATATGGTGGAGACTTGAGAGACTAAGGACAGATCAGGGGAAGAAAAAGGAGAGGAGGATAACAAGGAGATGGTTTTTGATCGAGTGAGAAAAATAGAAGGAAATTTGGATTTGAAATGGGTGGTGGAAACTGAAGCCTAGGTAAGCAAGATAATGGGTTTGTCTTTTATAGGAGGGGAAGCATTTGCAAGAAAAAAGTTCTAGGAATTGGAAAAGTGTATTGTAACAGTAGCAGTCTCTGAGGGTTGAGGACTGAGGAAGGTGAAATGGAGGAGAGCAGGTTCAGAGTAGTAGGAAGGTGGAGGTATGAGGTGTCGATCGAAGCCAAGACTTTCAAGTTCGAAGAGGAAAGGATCAAAGGTGATGATGTTTTGAAAATCAGAGAGAATAACAGAGCGACTGTGTTGGTGTCAAAGGAGGTCTTAGTCTGGTTGAAAGGTTTCATAGATGGGACCATCAACTCTGGTAAGGTGATTGGATGGACAAATTCTTTGACTGTACCAGGTAAGAAATATGTAACAGAAGTGAAAAGAAACAGAAAGGGTTGGTTTATCTCTATGGAGTTTTTCGGAACAAATGGAAAGCAACTACTGTGTGTGCCAAAAGGGAGGCTACGGAAAGGGTGGATGGATTTTGTGAAGGTGCTACAGTCTTTTCTTGTAGCCTTGGAAGTGAAGAGAGCAGAGGGGGTGAAGAGAACTGGTCAATTCTCCAAAGACCAGGGTAAAAAAGCTCAGGAAGGGGCAGTTTCGGTTAGTTCCTCTGGGAGCGTAGAAGTGCAAGGCACTCCGACTGAAGTGGTGGTTGCTTGCGCGTCTAGTCCTCAAAGATTATTGGTAGGAGCAGGGAAGGATAAGTGGAAGAAAAGAAGGGTTTTAGTAGCCGATAGAGGAGTGACAGACTGGAGAAGGGTTCTGTGTACTGTGGCAGGGGAGTTAGGATCTGGGAGTGAAGCTTTGTTGTTCCCTTTTGCAGAGACAAAAGCTGTGCTTGATGTAGGCGACCAGGAGCTAAGTTTTAAAGCAGTAGTGGTGGATGGAGTTCTGATACAGGTTCAGAACTGGAGTCCATTTTGCAATG